GTGTGTGTGTGTGTGTGTGTGTGTGTGTGTGTGTGTGTGTGTGTGTGTGTGTGTGTGTAAGATACAAAGCTGGCTTTCCTTAGCTCATAATAGAGAAGATGTGACAAAAAAAATTCTGAGACATGTAGTTAAACAATCAGTGACAGCTAACAATGTTACAAGTTAATGTAGGCAGTAAATAAAAATATGTGTCTGATACACAGTTCACTTGGGAGAACTTATTGACCTGCTCAGCAAGTTGCTTAGCATTCAATAACTTATCAAAAAAGCAATCAAGATGTCTTACAGAAAGAAATTCTGTGCTCAACACGTAGCCTTTGGATGGTCTGTAATATTTTTGCTGAGAAGAAATGCTTTTATTTGCTATTTAGGTGTCTCCAACTTTTTAATATATTCCTAAAAATAGTTTAGTATAGCCTGGAGCTTTTGTTCAATAACAGCTTAAGTGGGGTTTTTTTCACTTGCTACCCAAACATATTGTTTCTCACATTACTCAAGTTATTTTTAATTATTCTGCTTTGTGGAATTTTAGAGGGTCACACTTGAAAACTTTGCTATCAGCAACATAATTTTTTTTTGGGGGGGGGGTTGCATGTTTCTTAATATAAAACAAAAATAGAAATAAAGAATGGAAAAATTTGAAAGGAAAGAAATAAAGGTGATAAAATACGGAAATGTGGGGAAAGAAATTAAAAAAACAAAAGCAGTAACTTCTGACTTTTTGCAGTGTAAAAAGATAAGTAAAGTTATGCCAACTTTTTAGTTTTGCCAAATTATAACCAGTAGCCGTTCATTTAACTCAGTTGTCAAAAACCAGACTCAAATTTCATTGATTTTCTCTTTCATACAGAAAGTCCAGAAGTGGATTCTAAATAACTACAATATTATTTACATTCTTGTTTCTAATAATGCAGTCAGCTTCATTAATCATCTTTTCGATCCATTCCTCCATTGTGGGAGGTAACACTTCTTTCCATTTCTGGGAATATATAATTCTTGCAGCTGTTATCATGTATAACAGTAGAGTTCCAATCCCACCCCCTTCTTTAATAATTCTAAAGAGTTTCTAATTTCCATTGTAAATTCATTTTTAAAGCTTTCTGAATTAAACCATGATATTTCTTTGCCTTGTCACATATCTCCAATTTAGGATAAATGTTTGATTTTTAACTATTGGTTTTGTTACTAATGACAGGCAAAAATCAAAAACAATAATAAACTTTTAAAGGGCAGCTAGTACCTATTTTATTGAGAATCTTTTGAATTGTGTGGAATTTTACTATTCTTTCTTCTCAATTCCTCTGGCTCTTATATTCTAGGTCACTGACACCGTTTTACCAACTTACCAAGAAAACCTTAAGAATCCACCATTTCCAACATTTTTTGCTGATTCTGAAGAGCTGCCTGATGAGCTGTATGATGAAGAGCTTTTCCAGTTCACTGAACCCTCTATTGCACTCTCTGAGTCCTGAAGAATTAATAGCTATTCTACCTTCAGTCTTCAGAACTAAACATGAAGCCCTCACTGAAGGGCCCTATGACTTCTTTAAGATGGTATCCACATAACGTGGATCTTTATTGATTTCCAGATCCACTATTAAATAAAAACAGTTCTTTGAAACTGAAGAGAAGCATTCTGTAACGTTAACAAATTAATATGATTCATATAATAAATATGTATTTTTAATGTTATAATTTAGAAATATCTGCTGGTTTGCACATACCACATTTCCTATTGTGTAAAGCCAACTTTTCATGACACATATCCTGAAGTCCTTTTTGATTCAAAAGACAACATCCAGTAGCTGAAAAGAAATAGAACTTGCCTAAAATAATATGAGATTGATATATGAATTCAATAAGAGTCTGTTTCAATGAACTTAATAGGGTTTGCTTCTGATTAACAGCCACATTTTTGTTATGAAAGAAACAGAAGATAATGTGTGAAACATCTCAAGGTTTACATCTGCTTTCATATGAAGACATATTTTACTTTTTGCAGAACGCACTTATTTCAACACAAAACAATCCTCAAATATGAAGGAAAATTGCTTTGAAATTATCAATATCATTCTAAAATTATTTCTCCCTAATCATTCATAGGGTCACCCAACCATTATGGGTGTGCTTTCTTGCTGAGATAGCTGTCATGTCTTGAGTGCTTATGAAAAATATCTGGGTAGTTCATATGGAAAAAAATGATAAAGATCGGTATGACTCCTTAATCAGTTCCACCATAGCTCTTTGCATGAAGAACTAGGGTGGATCTGTGGCAGGCTTTTTTAAACTTTGAATCAGAAGGAAGTTGCTCTGGAAGACCAGCAGTAAAGAAAGATTTTTAAGAATCTGCTTAAACATTGCTTTTTGAGAAACCTGTTGAACTTTCAAGCAATCCAAACCTACAATAAAAGGATCTTGTTGGAGCAGCTGCTTTTCTTTTGATTTATATCATTATTATTTTTTCTCCTTCCTCATTTCCCCCCTAAAATGAAGCTAGCTCAGGGCTGTCAAACTCCCGGTCCATGGACTAGATGCTCCTGAAGCCTCTGGAGGGCTTCCAGGGGGGCGAGGGAGGCTGTTTTTGCCCTCCTCAGGCTCTTAGAAAGCCTGGGGAAGGCAAAAAAAAAAAATGCACCAAAGGCGGGGGGGGGGAGGTTTGTAAGAAGGGATTGGACAACCATTTGTCTGAAATGGCATGGGGTTTCCTGCTTGAGCGTGGGGTCGCATTAGAAGACTTTCAGGGTCTCTTCTAGCTCTATTCTGCGTATGCATGTATAGAAAAATTACCTACAATGGAATACCTTAAAATATATCTTAGTATGTGCACTAAGCACCCTTGAATAATATGCATTTATTTTTGCAACTTTAAAAAAAATCCTCAATTAAAATTTATTGTTTTCTATCACTGCTTGTTTAATGCTGAATCAAGCCTATTAATAAATGTCCAAGTTGTCAGCTTTGATCTGCATAAGTAGCGTATCTATAATGAATGCCATGTCAGCAATGGTTATCCATTCTTAAAGTTTTAAATATGAGTTCCTAACTAATAAATTTAAATGAAGTGTTTTGTCTTGTTAAAAATAATTACTTATTGATAAGTCTAATGAGATGTTAAATGAAAAATATTAAAAGATAAATGAGATTTTGAAAATCTATACCTAATTTAGTATAAGGGACAATACATTTGCCCTTATGATACTAGTGTTGTTATTCATGTCATTTGATACTATATCCATGTCCCACCATCCTTTAAATCCATCAGTTATTTAATGTACAGTATGATTCTGTTGAATGCTAATATCTCAGTTGATTTTGGGGAGCTGTTGGGTGTTTCCAGATAAGGCTTATACTGAAAAATCATTCTGTTACAGCAGAAATGACGTTTGGGAGAGGACTTTTATAAAAGCAAAGATGGTGGCCACAGTTCTATAATAAAAGCCCCTCCCCCTTTTTATGCATCATGATTGTTTCGACCAATACGTTGATTTATTATTTGAGGGTAAACCAGATCAAGAAACATATTCCACAGGAAGGTCTATGACAGTGATAGCAAACCTTTTTTGGGTTCTGTGCCAAAAGCCGGGGGAGCACAGGGGGTATGTGTGCACCGGCGTGCCACACCCATAATGCAATGTGCAATGCGTGCGATCAGTGACCCCCCCCCCCCCGCTTTTGCTGTTCTTTTGCATTCCTCAGACTCCAGAGGCTTTCTAGGGGCCTGGGAAGGGCAAAAACAGCCCCCCACCACCTCCCTGGATGACCTTTGAAGCCTCGAAGAGGGCAAAAAACGGACCTATGGGAAATTCGGAAGTTCAGGAATGGTGACTTTTGGTTTGTCCATAGGGCCGATTTTCGACCTTCGGAACCTTCAGGCCCTATGCCCATACAACACAAAAACCACCCGGAGACGTGCTGACAAACAGGAGTCAAGGAAACAGCAAAATTTAAAAGGCAAAAGGTGGATTTCTCTCCCCTGCTCTTTAGCGAAATGCTCCTTTTTTCTTGTTCTTTCCTGAGTGTTTGATTAGTTAACTTTGGCAGGTGAGGGAGGGGCTGAGTGGATTCCCCACATCCCATTTGGGGAAACAGAGCGTTTTTCTTACTGCTTCCTGAGAAGTTTCTCTACTAAATTTGGGGACTGGGTCACAACATGGAGCATGTGAGGATTATCAGTGCTGGATGTAACTTCTACATTTCTTTGGAGTTATAAATCCTCACAAAGCACATCCATTTGCAGAAATCTCACTGAATCAAGGAAGGGATTCATTCCCCATTTGGACAAATCCACAGAAATGGGGAAACAGGGTGGAAATGGAGAAGAAGGAAGATATAAATAGAAAGAGGGCAAGGAGTATATTTTATATTTTCAGCAGTTCGACAGTTCTTTTGGTGACTTCCCCCCGCTCTCAAAAACAAAAAACTCTTAATTTCAGTTTGGATCCCAATATCCATCTCTACATCTCTGGTATTATTTTTGGAATAAGAGGCGAACTGGTTTTACAGTTACATACCATGTTATACTTTATCCAGGTACTAAATTTTTAGATAATCACAATGTATTTAATAAAAGACCCCCCGCCCTTTCCCCTGGTTCTTATTCCAGCCACTTATTTCTCTTGCCCTATTTCTACATTAGTGTCAGGAAAGTCAGTGCATAAGACATGTACCAATTTGTTTTCTTTGATTTCCTAATTGGATATGTGCCATCCAACCATCGTTAAATTCATCAATGATCTGAGGGAGTTCCAAAAAGGCAGAGATGCGTTTTATGAATAGCTCTTTTCTAGACATGGCCCTCCACTGAAACTCAAGAAGTACCGCATGGCAAATGAACACATTGTCAGGATTGTAAGCGAATATGGCAATTGAAACCCTATGACTATTTAAGTGCCATAACACACAATTAACAATTGTGTGCTATGGCACACAAATTAACAATTTATTTCATACATGCCTTTTTATGATTTGTTGATGTCACAATGTGGGGATAACTCTAATCGAGGGAGGGAGGGAGGAAGAGAGACAAAGTGTTGGGAGTAAGAGAGCCTGTGATAACCTGTGAAAGTTTTAGCAAATGGGGTGGTTGAAATCCACTCAGCCCCTACCTACCCTTCCAAAGTTAGCAGAGAAACTTCTCAGGAAGCAGCAAGAAAAAAGGAGTGTTTTTCTAAAGGTGGGGGGAGGAGAAATCCACCCGTTGCTTTTCAAATTTTGCTGCTTCCTGCTTGCTAGCACATCTCCAGGTGATTTTTTGTTTTGGCAGGGTGCCAAGTTGGCTCCAAGTCCAGTTGTCTGTGGCAACTTGTTCTGTGCCCACCTGGCGATGTCCACCTGACACCCCCTAGCTTGCCTCACAATGTAGTTGTGTCCACTTAGCTACACCCACCCAGCTGCCCCAAGCCTTGAGTCATCCGCCCGAGTGGGCTACACCTAATCCTTTGCATTGACCTGGTCATGCCCACTCATGTCCACCCGGTTGCACTCAAATAGCCACGCCTACTCAGTCACACCCACTTGGTTGCATGAAGAAGGCTAGAACTGTATTGTGATAGACTAAAATAGAATCTTGGAAGCCTGACTTTGCTTTCTATTTTTATTTATTTATCCAATGTATGTGACCACCCACTTCAATGAGTGAGTGAGATTTATCTCCCCTAGGGTTCCTCTAACAAGGCCTTAAACAAACTTGGTTTGTTTGTTTATATAATGAGTTTTCTTTGCTTCTTTCAAGATCATCTCCTAATTCTCTGGGGAGAAGAATACAATTTTGTAATGCATAAAATCAGAAGCAGCCCCCTGCATAAAAATGCAGATCTTCCTATAAGTGTAAAGGTGATGAATATATTTTTAAAAAGCAGTTAGACTTCAATAAATTATAACACAAGTTATAAAAAAGATTAAGACGGGAGAGAGTGCAGAGAACAACAAAGATGATTACATGAAGAACGATTGTAGAAATTGGGTATTTAATGAAAAGAAAGACTGATGCTGCCACAAAGAAGAGGGGGCCAACCTATTATTCAAAGCACCTGAAGGCAGGACAAGAAACGATGGAGACTAATCAAGGACAAAACCAATCTAGAACTAAGGAGCAATTTCTTGACAATCAATCAATGGAAGATTTGCCTCCAAAGTTGTGGATGTTCCAACACTGGAGTTTTTAAAGAAGAGATTGGACAACCATTTCTCTGAAATAGTGTAGGTTTTCCTGCTTGAACAGGGTTGGACTGGAAGACCTCCCTAGGTCCCTTCCAACTCTGTTATTCAGGTGCTTGGGAAGTATTTAAAACGACTCATATAAACCATGTTTTAAAAAGTTGAAGTGATAAATGCAAAGGCAATTTAATATTTAGATGAAGCAAAATCTGGACTTATAACCATTTGTTTAATGATGGTTCAAAATTATGATAGCCTCAGAAAAAGTGACATGACCTGTATTCACAATTAAGACTGCTGTACCACCTAGATATGTGATCACAATTCAGGCGTTTGACAACTAGCTCACCAGAGAGATGAAACAGCCAAGAATTAATCCTCTGCCGAAACCAGACTTACTAAAAAGTGAAGTCTGTGTGAGAGGAAAGCAAGAGGCTCTCGGAAAACCGATTATTCAGAAGAACACCGCTCCGAATGGCTCCGGGCGGCTCCGAACGGCGCCAAGTAGCCCTCAGGCGATGCCCCCCCCTGCGGACGGCAACTCCAGCTGACAGCAATTCCAGCTCCGAGCTCAGATCGGGCCCTGGTTCGCTAAACGAAGTGCCGCTGAACTGTATTGCTGCCTCGGGGGTTGGTGAGTGATGTTGGGGTGCCGTGGTCTGGGTGACTGGTCTCCTTTACTGTCACCGCTGCTGACCCAAGCGCACCCCCTCTCCTTTTCCATTGTGGCCCTTTCTGCCTCTTGCCACCACTGCTGCGGACCGGCTGCTGTAATCCCAGCTTTTTTTAGACACCATAGCCGGCCTCCTGGCTCCCCGCTGCTGTTTGCCGCTGCCATCCGCTATTACCTTGGGCGTGCCTCTTCAGACGACACTGCTCTCCGGCTGCCCTCGCCCTTCGACCGCCCCCACCTTCGTCCTCAGGACCACCATCTTAGAGGGAGCTGGGACACCTGAGATCAAGCGTCTCTTGCTCTTTGCGCCGCCACCATTTGGTTCCTGGCATGCGTGACCTGTCAAAACCGCGCTCGACTAAGCCGCACCCGATTAAACCGCGTCGCTGACATCATCAACAGGGCAACAACAG